TTTTTTTTTTTTTTTTTTGCTTTTTTTTACACTGACTGAGTGTGGAAACCTCGAGAACACTCTGTAGATCTCCGTTAATACTTTTGTTTCGTTATCCTCGATCGAGAGAAACGAGTGTGAAATTGTGTACAAAAACACCTCTTGACACAGTAGTAGAAACTACCATTTGAACGTGCAATGTACACGATACACCGTGAGTATCACGATGGGGTGAAAGGAAAAGAACAAATGAAACGAGATCAATTGAAGCTTGTTCGTGATCATGCCAAGCGAGATATCATCGAATAAAAAAAACTTGCGAAACTCTTTGGTAAGAGAAACGGTCTGAGAAGACTCTGTCTGTGATTCGTGACTGAACACAAAGGGTATTCACGACCGATTTGCGGACGTAACGTTGACGGGTGGAGCGGGCGGGACGGGGGAGCCAAGGGGCCGTGATATGTTTCCTTCGTCAGCGGCGATGCTGAAGAATCTGCAACAAAGTGCAATGACCTCGCCTTTTTTAATGGAGAACTTGCTTCAGAGCAAGGCGTCGCCCGGTGCGGACCTGACCAGCTTGACCTTGAACTGGGCGGCGAGTCTGGTAGCGAGACAGCGTGAACGGGAATGCGAGGCGAACCTGAGGATCACCAGAGAGAAAGTCTCGCCGTCGAGCGCGAATCAGGATCAGCTGGATCAGCGATCGGCCACCGGCGCACGTGGCGTTGATCGTGCAAGCTCGATGATCGACTGCAGGGACCATCAACGAGGATCCTCGGTGAGGATCGACCGACAGAACGATCGGATGCACATTCTACGCGAGAAGGACGGCATGGAGAGGAGCCAGATCACGTACGTGGACGTGGACAACGAGAGGATCGACGGCCACGTAATCGTGGATCGTCTCTGCGCGATGGAGAGGCTCTGTAACGAGAGGATCGAGAACCGATCGAGCTCCGCAGTGGATTCGTGCAACTCGAACGTCGACGAGGATCTGACCAGCATCGAGATGGACGGAGGACTTCAAGGCGAGAGGGAAAAGGACGACGGGATTCTAGGAGGAGGTGAACGCGTGACGGCGTTACAGCCGGACAGGCGGTACGACCTTGGATGCAGAAACGTCATGCACACGTCCGATGAGATGACGATTCAAGGGGAGAGAGAGGTGGCGGTCGAGCGTGTCGTCGACAGGATAGGTGAGAGAACGACCGCCTGTTCCTGCGGCGACGAGCAGTGCTTAGGACCCGCATGCAGGACCATCCAGGAGAAGGAGAAGCCGCAGCTCAAGTTCAGCGTCAACGCTATACTCGGCGGCAATCATGACAGGCGACCGCATTCAGGTAATTGTTCTAACATGAGGCCTTGCGCGCGTTTATCGCCCGTGGTTCTAGCTTTAAGATAGTCTCGCCGGCTTTTAATCTGCAGATTACGCTACAGTAGCGTAGAGTAGATTTCCTTTTTTCAGAGAATGGCGCTAGCGAGTCTTTCGCCTAACTTGAACGAATAGTTTGCCATCTTTTTATGTAAAAATCTAGACAAAAGACAAAGGAATATCCCCTTTGTCAAATAACGTTTTTTTCAACAGCTTTGTTAATGATTCTTAGCAAAAGCTGATGACATCTTTGTAAGGTGAACCAAGCAGTCTATATAAATAGTCTAGTTAACTGACTACTTACAAGGCCATCATCTCTAATTAGATTTGGCAAAGTCTAAGCGGAGATGGGTTTCTGATTAACAAAAGCACGTCAGAAGAATCTCTTAGTCGTCTCTAAGCATTTAGAGTGTTGAAACAAAGCAAGCTCACCACAAATCAGTGTCGCCGGCAGACTTCTGTCGTCGGTCCCTAAATCTCATCCGCACACCCTCAAGACGAGTCGCAGCGTGCGTGCAGGGTGGAGCAGGACGTCAGCTGGTCGGCCACTTACCTTCACCCCAATATTAAGCCCTTACGATTGGTGCCTATAATATTAGACAAGCGGCAGGATCAAATGATGTATTACCCTGCCTCTTATCGCGTTTCCTTATTCACAGTAATTCCGTCGTAGCGAAATTGCTCCGCCTATTACCGAACCTTCCCGATTTATGACGGAACTGGCGACATGGCCGTACCGTATCGAAATACCTCCGTATCATCTTATTACCTTTCCCATTAATTTTACCAACCTAAAAGTATCGTTTTACCAATCAGAGAGCAAGTTAGGTCGGACCATTGTTCCGTTATTCTCTCGGATCACTTTAATCATCAACCGACGAGATCGATCGAAAATTCGTTTCTTTCATCTCTTAAAAAAATAATAAAAGAATTAAAAAAAAAAAAAAACAGAAAAAGAAGGGAAGAAAAGGAGGAAAGAAACAGGAGAAAAAACGAAAAACACATCACGTACATTCGAACCACTTCAGTGTACATCAACCGTACAATCTCTTGCATCCCCCCGCCGTTCTTTTTTCCCTCCCCTCCCCCCTCCCCCCGCCTGCTCCCTCCACCCTTCCCTACCACTAACGAGTGATTGACACGAGTCGATAAAGTTCATGCACATACGATAAATACATAAACGGGCACCGGGCACCCGGGAGTGGGATAGAAAGCAGGTAGGAAAGCCGAAAAGCGGGAACGAGAGACCGGCGAGGAAAGAGAGAACCGGAGAGATGGTTCATCAGTAGCGGGGCAGGCAGGGGACCGGGAGGGAACAGGGATACGTGTGGACGAATGTAGATAGGTGGAGAGGCAAATGTTGCATTTAACATTGGCGGATTGCATGCATGCGCCAGTGGAAGAGGAGAAGGCAACCAGTTGGAGAGATAGAGAAGAGTAGTCGGGGAAATTTGGTGCGCCCGGAATACAGGGGGTGGGGTTTCATGCATTTGTCGGATAGCGGATGCATTGACCGTGCCACGTGCATGTGTTACATCCCTTCTCCCCTCCCACACCCCCAACCCACCCTCTCCTCCTGCGTCCGTGAATCCATCGCCTCCGATAGACCCTCCAGCGTCCATGAGCTGTCCCCTCCCCCTGACTCCCCCG